TAAAGTTTGTGGGTTGTGTACATTAGCATGTACAACCAAGATAACTAATTCAAGTTAAATGGCACTCTATTAACTCAGGTTACACCAAGACCAACAACTGTAGATTAGCCAAGCCCTCTTTCTACTCTCCAGGGTAGTGAAACCAGCTTCAAAGTGCTATCTACTATGAATGTCACACAAGAAAAAAAGAGAGAAATATCTAATTCTCTAATCTCTTATGGAAGTAAATATTACATGTAACAGTAACTGGCAGATTTTTTTTAATAAAAAAAATGTGTTAAGTTGATATTGCCCCTTTAAATGCTACACATGCTAAAGGTTTTACCACTCATTATTTTATTAGCCAATTTAAAATAATGGGTTATCAAGGGTCTCTTTTGCAACAGGATACAATTTGAGAGAACATTTTATACGAATAAGGCTAGACATTCATATAGTGAAATATATAAAACAGTCTTTTAATTATTTGGATAACTCAGAAACTTGGAAAAATAGGGCAAAAGTGATGTTTTTGTTAAATGTAGCTTGCAGGAGATGATTTTTTCAGTCATTTCAGTTTAATGAACTAATAAATATTTTGAAAGTATTTTCTGGTATCTTATACTGAGATCTGTAAGTCTTGGGCCAATTAAAATATTAAATAAAAATAGAACTCCTACAGTGCGGAGTACAATAATTTTGCAGCGTCTAAGGGAAAAATATGATGCATTTTAATAAAATTCCCCTTGGATTTCTGTTGCCGTTGGTTAGCAGAGTCAATTCTAATTTGTGTGTGTGTGTATGTGTTACATCTCATGGGTTTCATGGGCTGTTTTATATTTTGTAATAAAAAGCAGTTTTTTTCAGTTAAATAAAATAATTTTCTTTTGGAAGCTGGATAGGACTTCAAGGACTTATGAGTTAGGTACCAAGAAGGCCATGGCAACTAGGTTGGATGTGGAACAAAGTTGCAATTGACTTGTCTCCAGACATCTTAACTTGTTTGGACACGCTGCTCTATTGGTACATCAGTTACCAGTAGTTCAGGTCTCTATTGTAGACAAGACACACATTATCTGTGAGTTGACACTTGAATCCAGGATTTTGCCCTGTTTTTCTGAGATATGTTTGTCTGAAGAAAGGTTTTTTTTCCACAGTCATCTATTGGAGATTAATATGAAGGATTGTAATAGCAGAAAGCTATACAAATGGCAAAAGGTCTGTGCCAGCAATTGAGCACTCAAGATCTGAGTAACCAGGGTGCTGCACCACCTAGTGGCTTGAAGCAGTTATTACAACCAAATATATGGTTTCTGCTTTCAGCACCCCCACTATAAAAAATGGTCCAGCATCCCTGGGAGCAACCCTATAATAAATTTTAATGTGTGTATGATGGACAAATCCTGTCCAGCATCAAGTTCAGCTTCAGTATCTTCCAGCCCAAAAATCATAATATATAACCCCAGCAAAGCAGCATTAAGATGCACCTCCTTCTCAGAACACTTCCAACTAGTACTCTTCCGTTAAATATGTCTCTTCAAAGAAATCCAAGGGAGGACAAGTTAGGGCAGTTGTTAGGATTGCCACCAGGACTGTTAGTTTGTTATACATTTTTTCCAGTGATTATAAAAAAAGAGAGAATTTTATTGACCAAGTAGATAATTCTGAACATCCTCATTTATCATCAGTATCTTTCTAATCTAGTGTGCCAGGAATTTCTAGTCTTAATTTCTTCTGTTTCCTCATCTTTAGAGATACCCTGTCAATGTAATATTTCATAAATATGATCTTGTTTTACAGATCAACAACTTTTTTATCTTTTAACATTCTTAAATATTCTCTTTAATGTACGGTAGTACTATCTCTTTGCATCCAGTTTTTTGTAATTTCTTCGTTTTCAACAAGACTTTCTAAACTTTGTATCTATTACAGCATTTTTAGTCTGAACAATTCTAATAGCTACTGCCATGTTCATGCTTATAAATCTGTCATCATTAATAAAATCTAAACCATCCTTTGCCAGAATATACCACCAGAAGCAAACAGGTGGTATATGGTTGAATCTGCTAGTGAATAATAAGGAGCAAAATCTTTGAGATCATGCTTTATTTCTAATTTATTAATATCTAATACTACTAGTTTAAGAAACACACTAAATATCTAGGTCATTAGTAACAGGGACAGCTATATATTTGGCACATTTTCCCCAAATGTGTAGACATGTATATATAACACTATTATAGTATTTAATATATTGTTACATTAGTGACAGTTATTGTGGGAATTAAGCAGTATCGTCAACCTCGCCATAATATGGGAAATATTCCATGACTATAATACACATTTTATTCCATAAAGTGCACTAAAGCTGTCTTGAATTCTCATAGTAAATATTCACAAGGATGTTGTGTATGACCTGTGCAATATAACCATGTGCTCCTACTGCTAATCCCATTTTATTCTCTCTGAATGGCCATATTACTTTGATAGACTTAATCGGTATGTGATTGTTGCGCTTTTATGCATGGAAGGAAAAGCAGGGTTACTCATAACTGAATCCCTGTTGCTTTTAAAAATTTCAGCCCCCCCCCCCATGTAAAGTATCATCGTTCCTCTGTCATGTTCTAATGCTGAAGAAATTTTCACTCTACAGTTACTTGGTTGGGGGACATCCATGAAACCATAGAGTGGGATGAATAATATATACAAAAATCTTCATCTTCTAGTGCAGTTTCTCTCATATGGAGCCAGCGTCACCGCCAGGGGCTTTTCTTGTGGCCACAACCTCCTGGGTTGTGATTATAGGAGGGGCAAAGTAGCAACTCCTCCCCTTCTCTGTTGCTCCTGGATGCACTGCCTCAGTGTTGGTTGCTGGGATTGGCAGGAGGGACTGGCCCTGCCCTTCTCTGGAGACACCTGGGGCATAGTGCTGGAGGAGCAGGCAGCCAGAGAGTTCCTTATCCTCCTGGTACGGCTGGGCTCAGGCTTTTGGCTCCATGCTCAGGCCCCAGCCATAGGTCTTCAAGCTTTGGTCATGAGGCTTCAGATTCCATCTCTCTGCTGTGTCCCTTGATTCCCCTCTCAGGACTTCATTTGACTCCAGATTTGCCAGGGCTGAGTAACTCTGTTGTGAAAAATGGTACTTGTATGTGTGTTAGTTTCACTTTTCACATCAGACTTACTAGCTAGCGATACATGCGTTGCAATAATTTGGACGTGTATATTGTAAATAGTTATTTATTTTTCCTAATGCTAATTAAGTAATTTAGGGGAAAGTGTGAGAGCACTATTAGTGGCTGCACTCTGAGGCACCACAAATTTGTCCTGGGAACCCCTATTCTAGTGAGAGACACTTACCACAAAGAGGAAACTGTTTCCATGAACAGAATGGAGGACTGCTAGATCTCATTATCCCAGCCTGATATTTTTTCTCTTCATCCATTTATCTACAGATTTGTGGTTCTCCCATATATAATATATATAGGCCTTAATTATTAATTGTAAGCAACTAAAATTAAGCTGTTGAAGGGTAGCCCTTTGCCCTTAGATTTCCTTCATATTGAGATGCTGTGAGTATTTGAGGAATAATTTAGGACACAACTGTGTCTAAAATAGCTTTTTGACAGGTGTTAAAAGAGAAATGAGATAAGGTTAATCCATGCAGTATGTCTGCTTACTAGAGATGGCTCTCTGTGACAGGTCGTAATAATTCTGTACTATACAGGAGGAACACATTCCTTTTTATTAATTGCAAGCTGGCAATTTAGTGTAACCCCGGGAAGCTGCCAATATTATTGTAACCCACAGACAAATTCTGATAAATGTTCTCTTTTCTTTTTTTCACCGTAGGAGTGAGAGTACAAAAGTAGAGTTAGTGGGCAGTACGGTATCTGGAACCTTGGAGAAGGACTCCTCAGAAAGAAGCAGTGACATTGGTAAGTTGCTGTGTTTTTGTAGTTCTTCTAACAAAGTTATGGTGTAGATATCTGCGTTTTGGTGGCACTTGCTCTGCTCCAAGAAGTAGTGAATGGGTTCATACTGAATTTTAAATGCAAAGTTAATCACATGTTCCTATTGTTGCATAAACTTTTTAAAGAAAAAACAAATATGAAACAGATTTATTTGGCATGGGAAATTGATTTTATTGTTAAAAACCTGAAGAAATTGCTTAGGCCAAATGAATAATTGTACTATATTTTGGTAAAGTAAAGATTAATGTATATTCTGTGTTTACAGTGTGTTAAAGGTGTAGATACCAATAATTTTTACATTTTTAAATACAAGGGAAATAGAGACTAATTTTAAAAAAATCAGTTTTGCTAAATAAGTATTAAAGGAAATGCCTGTTCAGTTTTAAAATGAACATGAACTCACCTTGAATTAAGATAATTAATCGATATCCCTAAAACATTTACAGTTGTGTCACCTTGAAGAGGAGTAAAGATAATTATTTTTAATTTTTTTCCATTGCTAAGTTTGAAATCTGTAAAAGATGTTCATGAGTGGGATATTGTTGTAATGGAGGTGTTGAAAGTGAGGTGTTCTGATTCTTGTTTATTTCTGAAAGCAAACCCAGGGACAGAGTCACTTTTATGTGGAAGTAGTCCAGTGACATCTGCTCCAGTCACTCAGTTTGGTAACAACTGTGTGGCAGCAGACATGTTTTTGTAAGAGGTAGAATATTTGTACTCTGAATGTAACCATTACTAGAACTCATTGATAGCATATAAAGTTATTTTGATTTTTTTAAAATAGAACACATGAATATTAGCCCATTTGGTAAAATATAATATTATGCATTCATCAACAAGTCTGCCTTTTCTCTGGACTTGAAAGAAAAAATGTTATTTTATATATAAAAATGTAATATTTGAATTTAAAATATAAAAAGCAACCACACAAATAATTTCTTAGGTTTGGGAAAGTGACCTATATTGTTGCTCTCAGTACTCATGTATCAGCTTTTTGAATTTGTTACTGTCAGTGTATTCTATTGTAGCAAACATGTTCTAAAGGAGTAAATAGTATATTTTTTTATTTTAAAAAAGTAAACATAGCGAAACACATTACAATTAAACTGCATGAACTGTTTTGAAAGTCTACAGTATAAGTCAACAGTATAATTTGGAAATGCAATCAATTTCATCATTTAATATTGCTAGCTTTTATTATTAATGTTTGTAAATTTAATTCAAAGCTGGTAGGCGGTTGTGTATTAGAGGGAGAAAATGTTGTACCAGCAAATAGCATATAATGGTGTGATATATGTATCCTAACATGGTTAATGGGTTGTTTGATGTGATAAAAAAACCGATTTTTAAAAATGGCTATCATGGGACAACTAGTAAATTTCTGCTCTTTTCCGGAACCATTCAGACTTTTTATTTTCTGAGGTGGGGGCTGGTAGGGAGAACAGAAGCAAATTAAACAAATATCACCCAAGGGCACTGAACACAAAAATAAACAAATCATAATTGCAACATGTTATTTAACGTTTTAGGCACTGAGTTACCAATAACTTTAGTGGAAAGAACTGTGTCTAATGATAGAATAGCATGAACACTTAGATAAAAATAACCTGGTACTGTTAAACATACAGGACATCACCAAGACATGACTTTAGAGCCTATTAGAGTTCACAGAAAAAATTATTAAGTTGGGACTGAAAGGTGCCCCAGAGTTCATAATTTACTTGGATTTTTAAGAAACTGTTCTGTGATGGATTAAAACTTTGTAGGCTAAAGTGGGTTGTAGTAAGAGATTGCTCCTTACAGTGGAGAGGAATTCTTTTCATAGGGTTTCCTATGGGCCCATGTTATTTTATAGATTAATCGTTTGTGAGAGGAAGACACGCTAAAGTGATGAAATGTTGGTGATAATAAATTAAGTAAAAACCGTAGAGAATGGAGATGGCTTTAAAAGCATTGAGTTAATGGGCAGCATGAGGTCAAAGGGAATTAAATTGAGATATGTGTAACGTAAGGTAGTGAGTATTACCAAAACTGTTTTAATTTTATAAAACAAAAAAAAGTGACTACTCATGGGAGTTAGCAAAAGTGGCCACTTATAAGTGGTGATCTCTCTTCGAAGGTTTGCATGCCCGAGAGAAGTGATGTTCTGTAGCTTCTGCAAGTAGTAACGTGGGACAGATAGTCTGTCTTCAGAGATTGTCTCTAAGGCAGGTTTTATTGTACATGCTAATGAGCTCTGAGGAAGAGGACAGCTTCCACCTGCTCCCTTTTGCTTCCAATAAAGTTGGGCTCAGTACCATAGAAAACGTACAAGCAGAGACTGTAGCTGTTGCAGGAGTAGTTGTTGAAGAGGAGGAACCCTACATGGCCCTTCTCATAGCTCTTGCATACCCATTTCGCTGTCATCTTGGTCACTGGGTTACTTCCCATTTCTACAATAGCTTAAACAAAGCTGTTCTGGGGCACTGAGGAGGAGGAGGAACAGCAGTAGTTAGTCAGATGTGGCTCAGTTCAATTTCATAATGCTACAAAGTGCTAGTGCGTAGGATGGTGCTTCAGCACTGGGCACTGGGAATTTTGAAACCTTCCTAAACTTCACTGGGGCACTCCAACTATCAGCAAAGTTCTACTGTACTCTGTCAGAGAGGTGTTGAGTATTGGCACACAAATTATAACTGAATTGCCATTGCTTGAGCTTCACTAGATTGATATTGTACAATTCAGTTAATGTTGTAATACCAGAAAGTTATATTTCAATAGAAATATTTCAATAGATACTAAATCTACAAAGGGGCTTGTCTTCATTAGCAAATTATATTGAGATGGAAGTTAACCTTGAATAGTTAGCTAACACCATGCTGATGCCGACTTTGTGATCTGTTTAGACAGACACACATCATGTTCTACATGGTCTGGGGTAAACCCTACTCTCATTTGGATTTATCCATGACTTGTCCTTCTCTATACAGACTGAAAGTTAAGGTCAGGATCATCTTAATGCAACTCCTCAAAGTCATATTCCAAAACTGATGTAATTTGCTAGCGAAAACAAGCCCCCGTATTGTTTATCTCCAATCGTAGTAAATTGAGAGACTAGCTGATGGAATATGTTTGATTTTATTACTGTCTTTTTAATTCAATTATCAGTAAAGTGAAGATCTTACTTTACAACTATTAACACCCTTTTTACCATTGTTTACTTGTACAGACAATCTTTTAAAAATGTGTTGGAGAAGGCTGGTTTACAAAATACAGTATTTTAGTTAGACATACAGTAAGGAGTATGAAAACCAAACCATTCTCCTTTCCTCCTCACTTCTTTTTTTCTTTTTTCCCCCCTATTTGTAGTGATGCCTTTCTTTTCCTTTCCACTCATATTTCATCAAGCTTTTCCCATTTACATCTCTTTACCATGGGTAACTCTTCTTCACTTGATGAGGGTAAGGCTTTTTTCCATCTGTTTTCTATCCTGACATTTGCTTTGTTAAGAAGGAATAACATGCATTCTGTAGAACCACTGTTATGCATTTTGATGATATTTTTTAATTGCTAGTGGGTAGATATGGTGCAATATTTTCTATCACGGTATGTTAATATTGTATCAAAAACATAATCATTACAATTTCTGATAAACCAATAAAATTCCATTTAGAGGGGGGTTGTCTCATTTATATGTTTTATGCATGCATTATCAATCAATAACTGGTTTCTGTTTATCAGGTCTTTATATTCAATACATCCATTTAATTGTGTCATCATTCCATGTTACACAGCAGAAGGACCATTTAATAACATCTTTAAACTGTTAGCTAGTCTGAAGTAAACTATACAAAGTGGGGTTTTCAGAAACACCTATTGACTTTCAATAGACTCATGAGCCAATAAGGGCTTGTCTTTGTGGGAAATATTTTCAATTGCGCCAGTATAAATATACCAGTACAATTAAGCAACTATAGTTATACCATCTGTAAAGACTTTTATTCCGATATAAAAGTGGCCTTTATCAGACTGTCTTAGGTCTGGTCTACACTAAAGATCTATATCAGTATAACTACGTTGCTTAGAAGTGTAAAAAGTTGACATCCTCGAGCAACATAGTTTACGGACCTAACATCCTGTGTAGACAGCTCTATGTTGGAAGAAGTGCTTCTTCCATTGACAATGCTACCTTCTCTCAGAGAGGTGGATTAACTATACGTACAGAGAGCGCTCTTCCATCGAAGTAGAGCATCTTCATTAAAGCACTACAGTGGTGCTGTTACATCAGTGTAGTTGTGCTGTTGTGGAATTTGAAGTGTAGATTTTGGATTTCTAAATCATTCACTCTTTAGTTTAGACATCACAAAAGATGTATACAGTTAATGCAAACTAAGACACCCTGGGTGTGTCTAGACTACCGAGTTTTTTCGGAAAAAAGTGGCCTTTTTTCGAAAAAACTTCACGTGCATCTAGACTGCTGTCATGTTCTTTTGAAATTAAATGGAAAGTATATGGCATTTTTTTCAGTTTTGGTAAACCTACTTTTAAGAGGAAGAATACCTTTTTTCGAAAGAGAGCGTCCAGATTGCCTGGGTGCTCTCTTTTGAAAAAGCGGATTGCTTTTTCGAAATTCTTGTGGCTATCTAGTGGATCTCTTTCAAAAGAGGCTTGTAGTCTAGACATACCCCCTGTGTGCAATTCTTTGCCTCAATTTCCAGAATACTCCTGAGCATTCTTTGGGAGTTAGTATTTTTTCAGGGTGTCACGTCCCCTCTCCTGGACCTCACTCCTCCAGATCAAGCGTCTCTTCTGAATCATAGTGTCTCCATTTACTCCTGCCCAAGTCCCCATTTGCATTTCTGACCCAGAAATGGTTTTAAAGGCAGTGCTAACATCTTGATTCTTTGTTCTTATTTTCTTTCCATTCTGCAGACAAGTTGGAAAGAACTGGTTTTTATGTAGGTTGCAACCACCTCAGTGTTCTG